GACAATGGTGTTGCTATCAATACTAGTCCTGGTACTCTTATTGCTACGGTTAGCTGTGAATGGTCATTTCACATCCACTTCACAAGCCTCTGCACGTGCTGCGAAAATATTGATCGTCCTCAACTCGGGGGCGTCCGGGAGGTAGCGGTGAAGCAAGATCTCAAGCACTCTCGCATTGGGCCTCATGGAATCGAAGTTGATGACACCCACCTTCTTCGGTTCATTCCATTTCAAGATATTCCCGGTTTTCAGCAAGAGCTTTGTAACCTGCGGATCATCCTGCCATTTCGCCGCCAGGCCCTCCAAGGCCAAACGATCCGGTTTTTTCCCGTCCTTCTTCGGCATAACCGAAAAAGCCACTGCACTCTCACAAAAACTGCCGGCGACAGTGGCACTTGAACCTGCCTGTTATGCATGCACCACATCAGGCCACAAGCACACAGCAGGAAAAGCTTCATCAAGTCTGCAAGCAAACATTGGATGTGCGGGGGGGCACTGGAGCAGCGGGAAATCCTGAGAAGAAGCGCCCCATCAATCAGCCGACATGTCAGACCTGCGCGAGGGATCGGGCACTGTGTGTAAATTGCTACCTAGGCAACTACGGCTGGGATCCTTCAGCTTGCGCTGCATGCGTGAGAGCAACATCCTATTTGCGAACCGGTTGTCCTCCTCAGTTCCAGTGGCTCTCCCCGCCACTCACCTAGGATAATCCCGGAACACTCATTCCTGCGGTCTCACGTCGCAGGCGGAGCTCATCGAGCGATCATCGGGCAGCACGACCTGAGAGACGGCTGCAATATTTGATTTAGTGTCTAAACTAGTACGTGTGTTGTGTCAAGGAATCTCAGGCATCAACTGTTCTTGTATACCTTTAGGACGGCTGCAAAGTAGTGCACCACACCCTTCATCCTGTAGTTCTGCAAGATGACCCAAGCACGGTCCTCGGAGATCGGCACCTGAATGCAAAAACCCGAAAGAATAAGGCCTCAATGTGTGCATGGATGGATAGTGCTTCATTTCACCCCGAGGACCTCGGGACTTGACTCGTAAAGAGCCTCCTGACAGCGAAGCCAAAACGCCGATGGCTGATCGAAGAGTCCTGTATGGCGAGGGTTGTTCCGAGATATCTGCTTGGTTTGAAAACCCACACTAACTAGTAATGCACCTTCTTTCTGGAGCTCACATGTGATCACCAAACCGAGGTGAGTCACAGCCATGGCTTCAAATCTTTCTATCGATCTCCAGCTTCACTACGTAAAACAGCTGATGTATTCGAAAGCCATGTTTGCACACTCCACAGTCTCAGCAACAGAGCACAGCAGGCAGTGCAAAGGGAATGGGTGCGGCCAGCCTTCCAGCGGTCGGAAGTGCTCGATGGGCCACACCAGCTCTGAGCCAGATGATCTTTGGATGAGTGATGATGTTTATTCCAGGTTAAATGATCTTTGCCTCATAAATCCCGCCATGAAGCCTATCAAACCTCTGAATTCACCAGAAGAGGATTTCAGCCCGCAGTCTGTTTTTCCCGGACACTTCCAAATCAGTTGCCTGAACCCTGTTCGGTTGGAAATAAAAGACTGAAGGAGTATAGAGGTATGTCCCAAACTGGTCTTAGAGGTTTGCCGAACCTGCCATGGTGGCTTCAACCTTGCGTGCCCACGCCTCATCCAACGCCGCTGGTCCAGCAAGGCGTGCCGCAGCAACCATGCTCGACAGCGCCGATGCGTTGGCGCGGGCCTTGTCCACGTCGCCTCCTGCGTGTTGCAAAGCGAGAGCGATACAGGAATCATGGGACCCTCGACTGCTCGCTGTCAGGTTGGATCTGTAAGCGACGGTGGCTGCGACCTGGACCGCATTCACTTTCGAGGCGGCTTCCGCAGCCTCCTCGAGTCCGGAGTGGACTGGGGCATCAGACACGTATGTCGCAAGCGAAGGCGAGCCGAGAATGGAAGCCATTTTGGCATATTTCGTGAACAGACGCCAGAGGCACGCAGCTCCGGCTCTCAAGGCTGCGCTGCCAGCAGCCGTCGCAGTGATGGTCACGACGTCCGAGTAGTTGTCGGTGAGGAATGAGCCTTGCAATCCCGCAGCGATGCCGTAGCGCCTGAACATATACCTCGAACAGTCTCAAGTGCTCCAAGTGCATCTGCGTCCAGCAGGGACAACCATGTCTGCGGCGAGCTCTCGAACATGACCATAGTGTTCCGGAGGGCCGCGGCACCTTGTCCTCCACACAAGGATGCGAGGCGGAGGAGGAGATGGTTGTGGCCCACCATGGGCATGTTTGCTTCGGCGTAGATGCAGGTCTTGGTGTGGAGCCCAGCGTTCGCCGGCCCGCCAGCCGTGACCGTGGCATAATGGTCAGGCCAGTGCAGACCCATTAATGCTCACTCGGACGAGTTGCTCGTTCGTGAGCGTGTAGGTCTTCCACGTACGACCGCGGCTGGCGGCAGCGGCTGCCACAAGACTTTGTACTTTTTGCGCAAGGGCTTGTTGCGACGGCTGAAACGCAGCAAGGTCTGCGCCTGATCCTGGGGCAAGCGCTGCCGGCGCGTTCGGCGTCTGCCTCATTTCTGCCGGGAGCGTGGTCAAATCCTCGTGAATCTGATCCATGTCCTGTGCCATCGAGGTCACAGCTCTCTCTGTGGCATCTGCAACATCAAATCCTGCAGCGCTCTCGGTGATTGTTGCGGGCGCATGGCGCACAAGGTATAGGTCTCGAGGTTTCGCCCGAGGCGCAGTCCGTTGGATGACGTGCCGGTAGCATGCCCCGTGTTCACTCCGTCTATATGGCAGCCATCACGGAGGCTCCAATGATGAATGCTGCACCGTCTGCGAGCCTCACGCCGTCTGGGTTGGTGGCATACAGCGGGTCCGCCAGCTCGATCGTCTGGATGCTGTTGACTGAGGCCTGGAGGGCAGCGCTGCCCCCGCCGGATGCCTTTGCATTTACTGCCACGTCGGAGGTCTCGAGCAGGACACGGGCTTCAACGTTCGCTGCCGGGCCGATGCCCATCACCGGGCATGGCTATAGAGCTGCCAGCCAGCTCCGAACGCAGGCACGTAGTCGAGGAAGAGGGTCATGAACTGTGCGTTATAACTCGCGCCATCGCGAGGGCACGCTCGGCGAGCGGCGTCTCCGGGATGATTCCGCAGAGCAGCGAGCACGTGTTCACTGTCTCAAGCAAGCTCACGAGGCAGTCTGTCCCCATCGCGTCGGTCATGGTTCCCGTAGAGCTGACCTCGACGCCGTTCAGGGATGCAGAATGGTTTGATGCTGTGGCAGTCGGCACGGCCCGCGCGCCGGAGATGAAAATTTCCATTTTCTGCCTCGCCCCAGCCGAGCAGACAACCAACTGGCCACGGCGTGCCATCATGTGTGCGGGCAGCCGAGCGTTCGAGGTGCCCCGAAACCACGCCGATGGAACCATGATTGCCGTGGAGCTCCCTACCGCAGGCGTGCAATCGATTCCAAACCGGACTTCCATCACCTCTGCAAACCGTCCCATCGCGGTGCTGATCGCAGCTTGGTTTGGGACAGCCGCGGAAGCTGCCAAGCCGAGGCGGTTGGCAAGGTGCACATCGTCAGTGGTGTAGTACCCTGCTGCGGTTGTGGCGCTGTACAGTGGCATGGTGAGGTCAGGATCTGGCAAGTTGCCAGTGATCGTGGCATCGATGACGCTGGCACACGAGAACATGTGCACCAGCGTGTCTGTGCCGAAAAACGCTTCGCGGTGGTTCGGGCGGATCGACTGCATGCGGTCGCGTGGGACGCAGCGCCTCTTCGACGAAGATGCGGGTCGTGGCCGCAGTGTTTGGCAAGGGCCGGCCGAACGCCGCGAAACCACACAGTGCGTCCATCGGCAACACCGGCCTCTGCGTCACCTGCAAGCCAGCATCTGCTTCGTGCATCCACCCGATCGCGGTGGTGGCCACCGACGCGGTCGCCCGCGACGCTGTGGCTGCTTTAGCCGACACAGCGCCCAATGCGGGGAAAACTTGCGGAGCCCGGGCTTTGGCTTTGGCATTCGCAACGGCTTGCGATTTTGCGGCACCTGCCCAGGACTTCGGTGCCATCTTGAAAAACACTCCCACAACGTTGTCTCAGACACTTTTCACGCCTCTCTCTCTCTCTCTCTCTCTCTCTCTCAATCACTCTCTATCTCTAGCTCCAGCTGCATCTCTCTCCCTCTTGCTCCCCGGAAGCGCCGCTAAAACCACACCCTTGAGAACACCAAAAACATCCCTAAACCCTAAACCCTGAAACCTAAACCCTAAATCCTAAACCCTAAACCGTACGCGAAATCTCACACCCGCAGTCTGCGCCATCCTGACCTCAACCCCCGAGCCGGATTGAAAATTCTTATAGGCCCTAATGTAGGAACCTGATTAAGAAACCCTGGCCCTATAACCCCCAAAAACAGAGGCTTCATGTAAGGAGCCCTAATAAAGACCCAGGGTTTCTTAAGCAGGTTCCTAACCCTGAGGCTCCATGTACCCATATAGTATATACATTGGCCTTAAAGTACTAGTATGGTGAACCCTTTTGAGGCTTAAATATATACGATATGGGCACATGGAGTCTTAGGGAATGTAGGAACAGGGTTCAGAGGTTTAGGGTCTCTTTAGCTGATCCTTTAAGGGATCTATAGGGTTTAGGATTTAGGGTATTGCCACTATTACTATTGCTATTAATGTAGGAACCTGATTAAGAAACCCTGGGTCTTTATTCAGGCTCCTTATATGAAACCTACTATTTGGGGGTTATAGGGCCAGGGTTTCTTAATCAGGTTCGTACATTACACAAGACTATGTACCGTACACAAGATACGACCCTACTTGGAGGTTCATGGGTAGTTATAAGTATAGGTTTGCAAGTAGGGGTAACTATAGTTATATCCCATATTAGGGGACTTATAGCCCCACGTATAACTTCCCATGAACCTCGAAGTATAAGGACGGGAAGCCATTCACTTCAATGTGCATAAAACTAACCGTGCCTCCCCTGTCTGGCGAACTGCCGAACTTGTGAGCTGATCGTGTGCCATTCCGTAGGCCGCACGAAATGCCGCAATGTGACCTCGTTTTTTGGGTGGCTTCCAGACCCTGAGGCTCATGTACCCATATGGTATATACTTGGGCCTTAAAGTACCTATATAGGTACCCCTTTGAGGCCTAAGTATATACCATATGGGTACATGGAGCCTTAGGGCGAGGGTTATAAGACCCAGGGTTGAGAGTGGGGAGAGTGTCAGCCTCGTTTCTGCTTAGATTCTCGAAAACACGGGGGGAGGGCCTCGACATCCAGAGGTCCTGATGCCAGGGATCCTTGTTTCGTGGTGGGCCTTATTTTGTGAGACTGTCTAATTGTTAATCAGTATTATACGGTTTGTGTAGGATGTGAGGGGTCTCCAGGGCTGCCAAAGCTTTTTAACCAAAGCTTTGTAATTACTTCCGAAACAGTGTGGTAACCCTAGGGGGTTCTTGCGTTCAAACCTGAAAAGAATCAATCGATTGGGTCAGGTGCTGCACGCGAGCGTTGAACATTAATTCCCAGCGTCTTGTCCTGCTGGTACTACTTAGAGCAAATCCTGCAGATGCTTCCCATCATGTATACAGGATGTGTCCGACGCTCCCGCTGCGGTGCGGTGCATACTTGTGGCTGACGTCCTACTATCCCTAAGGCTCCATGTGCCCATATAGTATTTTCTTAAGCCTCAAAGGGTTCACCGTATGAGTACTGTAAGGCCTGTAAGGCCAATGTATATACTGTATGGGCACATGGAGCCTTAGGGGTAGGAACCTGCTTAAGAAACCCTGGGCCTTTATTAGGGTTCCATATATGAATCCTACTATTTGGGTGTTATAGGGTTTCTTAATCAGGTTCCTAAATTACACAAGATTATGTACCCTACATGGATCCTTAGGGTATTCACAGAGCAGTTTGCATGCTGCACGCGCCCCCGAGGCGTTTTTTCTTGTAAACACTATATGGGAGTTTCCGAAGATTAGGGCCACCTTTAAAGTGATTCATACGGGTTCTTTGAAGGGATCTATAAGGGGGTCTATAAAGGGTTGAGGGTTGCGGGTTTCCGAACATGAGGGGAACCTTATTTTGGGGGTCCTTTTTATAAGGCTCCTACTTTTGGGGGTACTATATTAGGGTCCCCCTAGTTTCGGAAACTCCCATATGGCCCACATTGGGCTATCGAAAACCTTGAATCGAGGGGGAAACGATTCGGGGTGTCTAGTTGTTTAGGGTTTGCTGTCCTTCCATCCTGGTGGGTTGTTGTTGCCTGGTTCGCGGTGGTCTTTGTGGTCTCCTTGCGTCTGCTCGGTCTCCTGGTGGTCTCTTGGTGCTCTCCTGTGTCGTGCTGCTGCGGTTTAGGAGTTTACTTGGAGGATCAGGAGACTTAGTAAGTTAGGCTATAAGTACCTTAATTGGGGTTATAAGTATGGTTACCTTAATTAGAACCCTAGTTACTAAGTCACATGATCCTTCAAGTAGGGTTTAAGATTTGGTTCTGCCCTCGTGCTCTCTCCGTCTGTCGGTAAGTTGTTGGTAGCTCGGGGTCCTCCAGAACTAGCTTTTTGGCAGTCGCACACCAATGGAAAGCACATATTGCTTCCAAAAAGCGGTTTAAATGCCGGAAACACAGGTCCTAAAGACATGTGTCTGGTCTGGTCTTCCGCTGTTGGAGGACATCTTGGTAGCTGTGACCATCTCAGGGACACTTGCGTCCAAAGGCAAAAGGAACGTCAACACATAAAGGGGCCCCAATGACTTGGGGTGCATTGTACTCTGACTACATGAGGAAAGCTATTGCTACTTATTCCAAGCCTCACATTAGGAAAGGATGTAGGGTGAGTGCGATTGGGGAGGCCGAGATACTTAGACTACGGATTTGTGGGTGCAGGACCTTTAGACAAAGGAGTTACATGTCTGATTGGTATTCTTAGTACTCGGGCCCCTGCATTATGGGAGTTGAGGTGTGCTGTCGGGATCTTGGGGTCCAGTGCCGGTACCGAAATCCAGGGACATCGGCCGGTGCGGCAACCGTCGTCTCATCATTCTCGCAACATGACATGCGCCCATACCCAAGCCCTATACTTAAGCTTCTAGAGGGGCTTGAAGTTCATGCTGCACATTGCTTTAGGTTGTATACTTCAGGTTAATGTAAGGGTCGGAATAGTAATAGATGGCAACACTATCCAGTGAAAAGCCCCCGAAGCCTCTATGGCTGTAGCAGAGGTGCCTCTGGCGTGCTGTCTTGTCGACGTCGACCCTCCTGGAAGGCTGGTTTGGAACAGACCCAAAGGCTCCATGTACCTTTATAGTAGATACTTGAGCCTTGAAGGGGTCCCTATATAGGTACTTTAAGGCCCAAGTATATACTATATGGGTACATGGAGCCTCAGGGTCAAGGACTCAGGGTGTAGATGGGTGCAGGACATGTCTCTTAGGGCTTCGAGGCCTCAACGACGCCACGCAAAGCCGAAGGGACTCTTCGCGATGCCGCTAAACCCCTAAATCCTAAACCCTTAAAGCCTAAACCCCAAACCCTAAACCCCTAAACCCTAAAAGCCTGGACCCCTAAAGCCTAAACCCTAAACCCCTAAACCCTAAACCCCTAAACCCTAAACCCTAAAAGCCTAAACCCTAAACCCCTAAACCCTGAACCCTTAAAGCCTAAACCCTAAACCCTTAACGCCTAAACCCTGAACCCTTAAAGCCTAAACCCTAAACCCTTAACGCCTAAACCCTTAACCCCTAAACCCCTAAAGCCTAAACCCTTAACCCTCGTCCCAGGGAAGTCCTTGTACTGCATGTGTACTTGCAGCACTTCGTGGCTCTCATGGGGATCCACCACCAGCATGAGCTCTTTCAAGTGTGGCAAACCCGGTAGCAGAGATCCTTCCTCGGTTCCGCAAGGTTTGGGTTTAGGGTTTAGGGCTTTAGGGTTTTAGGGTTTAGGGTTTGAGGATTTAGGGACTTAAGGTTTAAGGATTTGGGTGTAGGGCTTAGGGTTTAGGAGAATGGACCCCGATGGCCGTTCGAAGAGTGGGCTTCCCTCCCGAAACTTCACTGGGTTTTTGTTAAGAGACTTAAGTTTAAATAACCATGATAAGCATAATAAGGAAACCATATTTTGTACTATAGATCCCTCTTATGCTAACTTAGATTAAATTCTTTGACAAGAACTCAGTATAAGCCCTCAATCCTTAACCCCAATACTACAAGACCGTTACGAGCCTCATGCTTTCAACCTCAAGGCTCTGGATCTGGCTGGTGGGGCGTCTAGGGTCTAGGGTTTATGTGTTAGGGTTCAGGGTTTCGGGTTTAGGGTTTAGGGGTTAGGGGTTTAGGGTTTAGGGTTTAGGGGTTCAGGGTGTGGGACTATGATTCTAACGAGCCACCGGCTGCAAAAACTGAAGACAGGTTGGTATAAACCCTGACCATGTGCCCCAAATGCAATGCTAAAAAAGAGTGCGCTGAACACAGACCCGGAGGCCGCAAGCCCAAGGGAAAGTCCAAGCCGACAGCACAAGCCCTAGACCCTAAAGTCCTCAAATACACTCTCAACTTGCCCAAGTAGTCCCAGCTCAGAAAAGATTCGACAAAAAGCAACTCGAAACCTGGAACAAAACCTCACGCCTAAGCATTAAATGCCAAACCTAAGGCCGTTAGCCCCGAACCCCAGACCCTTAAACCCCAAATCCTAAACCGCACGCCCGACACATCCTAAAACACCGAGTCGTGAAGTTCAAGCGAAGCGGAGGTTTCTTGCATCAGACTCTACAGTATACTGCTACTGCTGCTACTACTACTACGACGACTACAACTACGACTGCGACTAGACTGCGACTGCGACTACGGCTACGACGACATATACTGCTAATTACTGCTGCTGCTGCTGCTACTACTACTACTACTACTACTGCTACTACAGTACTACTACTGCTACGACGACCACTACCACTACCACTACCACTACCACTACCACTACCACTACCACTACCACTACCACTACCACTACCAGTACCAGTACCAGTACCAGTACCAGTACCAGTACCAGTACCACTACCACTACCACTACCACTACCACTACCACTACCACTACCACTACCACTACCACTACCACTACCACTACCACTAGTACTAGTACACTACTACTACTACTACTACTACTACTACTACTACTACTACTACTACTACTACTACTACTACTACTACTACTACTACTACTACTACTACTACTAGTACTACTACTACTACTACTACTACTACCACAACTACTACTGTCACTACAACCAGTGCCAGCAGGACTGCACTGTAAGTGCTTTTCGACCACTACGCTTACTCGGACACCCGCTGAGACAAAAGCATATCCGGAGGCCTTCGGAGAACCTTTCAGTAGTACTCCCTAAGGCTCCATGTACCCACATAGTATATACATTGGCCTTAAAGTACCTATATAGGGGACCCAGGCTTAAGTATACATATTATATGGGCACATGGAGCCTTCGAAACTGTGTGGGCTGAACCCCTGAACCCCTAAACCCACCCGAACCCCGAAACCCCTAAGCCCCAAACCCCTAAACCCTAAGCCCTAAACCCGAAACGACGGAGCTGGTTGTTCGCAAGCGAGAAGCTGTCACACTAGATGCCCGTGAGGAGGCTCCGGAGCGAAGACTATAGCCAGTGGATGTCCTTTATAAAACAGTGTAGGGTTTAGGGCTTGGGGGCTTAGGGGTTTAGGGGTTTATGGGGTTTAGGGGTTTAGGGGTGTAGGGTATGGGGGTTTAAGCATTTTTTTTTTGAGGGCTCTTTTCCACCTGTCTAGCAGTCGGAATTCCTTTACTAGGAGGAGCCGTTGGTAGGGGCCTCAGGGAGATTTTGGGATTGAGACAAGGTCTGAGGCTTAAGAAGTGCTGGACGAACTTCAGTACTGAGGCCCCGCACCAAGGTCGGCCGGACAGTGTCGCGGCTCAAAACGTGTTGAGACATGTAGCTCGTGCAGCTTACCGGTAGTGCCACTATCATATTGGAGTATTGCCATGATTCCCCTGACCATGTGATCCCTACACATCAGTGCACAGCAGCTCTTGCATCAAGACGTGAGTAGCGTTACCTCGGGCTTACTAGAACAGGATGCTGATTAACATGCACTGTTTGTGCTCGGCTCGTGGTTGTCGGGCTTTTCCTGTACAGCGCATGCTGACCTGGGTCCCCTTGCTCGCGGAAGTAAACAAAGCAACACTGTAGTGCAAAGTACAGAATGGGAACACAAAGCTATTGCATTTCCGCTGGGGCGGGCTCAGCTGCGGCCCTTCAATCTGCACTGTCACTGCTGCGGTCCCTCTCAGTACTTTGTCCTGGTGCTCCGTGTTCTTCGTACCAGCGTCTGCCGTTGTAGTAGGGGTCAGGGTGGCCGTGGTCTTCGGGCATCTCCGGTGGCGGTAGTCCGTGGGGTACACCGTGCGCTGCTGGTACTGTCTCTCTGTTAGCCGTGTCGTTCGGGTCGCCTTCGGTGCACTCGTTGTTCGCATCTGCTGTCGTTCCATGAGGCGCCTGTCCCTGGTTGTTCTGGTCGTCGGGCATCGCCTGCAGGTTGAAGGTGTCGAGGTTGTCCAGCTCCGCGAGCACGTCGGTGGGTATGTCGTTGATCCCCTTGAAGTAGTGTAGCATTGCCGTACTGCTCGCTGTCACAACCGTTTGGTTGGAGACATTGCCGGCCGTCCATCTGCGGTAGAGCTCTCTGGTGCCCGGCTGGTTGATGTCAAAGCGTTGCGGTTCACGGGGTCGTCGTGGTGTGCTCGAAGACGCCGGTCCCTGTAGTTCCTGCGGCACCTGTGTTGGGGCCACGGGCTTGCCCTGGTACATCCACGTGCCCGGGTCGTCGATCTTGGTAGCTTTGACATGTAGCTGCAGGGAATGTCCGTCGTCCAACTCCCAGTCGTATGCTCGGGTTGTGGTGCCATTGTCAAAGCAGATCCCGATGCGGAGGCGCTTCTTTGGTGGCCTCCAGCTCCATCCTCCAGCGGTGTTGAGAACTTGGTCATCGTGTTTTTGCGCGTCGTTCGCCTTGACCTTCTCTTGGTGCGTCGAGGCCGAGTCTTGGAGGTGTCGCAGGTACTGGGCCTCCAGAGCTGCTTCGTGGGCTTCTTGAGCGTGTCGGGCTGCAAAGTCCTGTGGTTCCTCCATGTCCCGGAGCGCCTCATCGATGTCCTCATCGCTGAGTTCTGGGAGGCCTTGGACCCTCCTCCACCAGGTGGTAACCCAGGCGCTCTCGAGGATGAGCGCGTCGGAGTGCGGAGATTGCGGAATGTCGTCGCAGTAGGCCACCAGAAGGCTCTCCAGTTGCTCCCTGTCGGCCATCAGGGGGCCGTCGTGGTCTTGCAGCAAGGCCATGAGCTTGATCGCTCGGCTAGAGGCTGTAGCGGGTGTGAGCCCGCCGAAAGCCTTCTCGAGACGCGTGAGGATCTCTGGCACGGGTGAGGTCGAGCTGATCGTGCTGGGAGGTTTGGCCGTGTGGTCCATATGTGTTTGCATGTAGATGGATTCTTCCTCCTCCGCGTCGTCCTCTTCGGTCTCGTAGGCATTCTGCTGGGGAATCTGCGTCTCCTTCGAACTGGCTGAAGGGCCAGCCCCTGTGTCCGCTTGGAGTTTGGCTCTCAGGCTGCGGGCCCTTTCCAGCGCATTTCCAATGTCCATCTGGAGGCGGCCTAGGAAGTGCGGCAAGGCGTCCAGCAAAGTGGCATGTATGTGCTCGGGCTTGTCCACTAGGGTCTCCACAATGTTGTCCGCCACGTGTTGTGGTAGTACCGGTGTACTCGAGGGGTCGATGCCGTCGTTGGGCGCCAGCTCCAGGAGTGCTTGCCAAATTGCCACTGCATCTTCTCGGGTGACTTCGTCTCCCACGTCATCCGTCTCTGCTGTTGGTGGCGGTGGTGGTGTAGTTGGAGCTGCCACCTCTTCGCCCCCGCGGGGTTGCGGGCGTTTCTTGGGCTCTGGCTTGCACCGTTTCGGAGGGCTGTCAGGTGGTCGAGGTCGTAGAGGAGGATTGTTTTGTCGTTTCCAAGGAGGTCGTAGAACTCGGGTACTCGAGCTTTTCTGGCTGGGTGGTAGTTCTCGCCAGAGGCGTGTCGGACTTTTCTTGTTGAGGGGTACCTTGGCCTTATCTGCCATAAGCCATGTTGCATCGTCCTCCTCAGTCGTGGTGTCGGAGTCGAGGATGATGGGGCTTCGGGTCCGCGGTTGGGCCGGAGTCGGCGTCGGGCTCGTCGTAGTGTTTGGTTGCGGCCTTCCCGTCACGGGCTCGTGGCTTGATGTAGATCCAGTGCAAAGGTGCATGTCCGTGTCGGTCTCCAGGTCAAAGGTCAACATGCCGGTCCGGGCTTGGCTTGGACTGGCATTGGCGTGTAGAGGTAGTTCATGTCCCAGCTCGGCGTTGGCCTGCGTCGTAGGAGCTGGTTGCGCTGGAGGTGCTGTCGGCCGTGGTGGCGGTGAACGTGTCCTTGATCGGAGTGCCGCCGAGAGGTCGCTGTGGTTGTCACTGCTGCTTCCTTCATCTTCGTCTGCAACGTCCATATCCAGGCAACCACATGGCTGGACTGGGGAACCGTGGGCTCGCATGCTGCACTCCCTCCACCATGCAAGGTGAACGGTGCGGGCAATCTCGGTCGCCAAGTGCTGTATGCGGTGGTCCAGGCGGGTACCGGTATATTCGGCAGGTTGTAGTCGCTGCAACTTCCTGAACCAGGCCCTGCCAAAGTGATTTCTGATGAGTTCGGTGTCCTCCCAAAAGGTGGACTCGTCTTGCGCCAAAAAGGCACGGTCCAAGGCCGAAGCCAGGGTTCTTGCCCGGATGCCGCGTCTGACCAGTGCCGTGCCACGATCCAGTAACGGCCATACCCATCTCGGAGCATCATGCGGGAGGAAAGGCTCGTTGAACGTCAGGGCGGGCTGCACCATCACGAGGAGCTTCATGCTGAAGAAGCTTGTGGCATCGAAGTTCTGACGCAGGGTAGGCTGGGAGGTTCGAGGGCGTATTTTGGCACTCCGGTGGTCATGCCGCGGGGGAGGTCGGTCGCCCCGGTCTTGTGGCTGGCCACATTCATCCCGACGGCATGGGTGTGCTTCTCGATGATCTTGTGGTTGACCTTGCTGTGGGTCGAGTACCGCTCGTGGTGGGTGTCGTGGTAGTTCACTTGGATGATCTTGTGGAGGATCGCGTCGAAGGTCTCGAAGTTCTTCTCGTCGGTGCCCTTGCCGTAGGCCATCATGATCAGTTGGTCGCGCGCCGTGGGGCGCTTCCTGGTCGTCCGGTGGGTCGTCTCGCAGGGCAGGTGCTGGTCGGAGTAGGGGATCGTCATGAAGGTCGAGCTGCTGTGACCGATCGTGGCCGGTCGGGCCGGGCGGGTCTTGCGTGGGTCTTGTCGGCGTGGTTCCTGAGAAGCTGTGCACGTCGGCGTTCTGGTTGCGCTTTGGCCAGGGGCAGTGTTCCTGCCTGGGCACTTCGTGATCTTGCGGAGGATCGCGTTGTAGGGCTCGAGCATCGAGTAGTTGAGCGCGGCGTACTTGCGGGTGATCGTGCCGTAGAGAACGGCCAGGGTCCGAGGGTACGTCAGGGTCGTTGCTGTACTGCAGGTAGTCCGGTGGCGACTCCGTTGGTGGGAGGCATCGAATTTGGTCTGCGTTTTGGAGCCCCCCGGGTACGTGTCCACGATCGCGTTCCAGCTGATCTTTTGGTGAATCGGGTGGAAGGGCTCGAGCTGCAGGTAGTTGAGCACAGTGATCTTGCGGATGATCGTGCTGTAGGGATCGTCGGAGGCCTGGTGGAAGGTCAGGATGTCGTGTTCGTTGGCTCTCCGGCGTCTGCTTCGGTGGCGTCATCCTTCGAATTTGGTCTGAGTCGTCATGTCCCGGCGGGTGGTCCTCGTGGCTTGCCCAAGGTGGGTGACTCTCCGCAGTGGGCTCTGCTAGGTGGGGAGTCGTCTTGCCATCGTCACTCTGTAGAGAGGCCCAGGACGTGACCTCGTAGCTCGTCACGAGCGGCACACACACTGCGAGGATGTGCCATAACATGGAGGCAGGGCTTATAGATGCCTGCAGAAAGGTTCCGGGGTCGAAAAGCTTTACGGCTGCGGTTTGTTTGGGTCGAAGTGCGCGGTGTTGAGGTAGGGAATTAGCGAAAAAGGTGTTACGGCTTAGGGTTTGCACGAACGCGGGCCCGCAGGCCGCTGCTCAGCCAGCAGCTTCACCTCAGCGGCCTAGGGCAGGTAAGTACGGGTTGGTTTGAGCCACTGTACATGTTACGCTGTGAGGGAAAGTTGGCGGCCCGAGGCCCATTTGACATCCATGTTCTGGACCCATGTGTCTTCGTATTGCTTCCATGCCGCCGGGTCCTGGGCGAGTGTCCGCCAATCCTGTGAGTTACAGGCTTTGTTCATGGCTTTTTCTTCGACTGTATGGTAGGCAAAGAAGGATCGGGGGTGGGTAATTCCATCAGTGCGGCGCTGTTGGTCCTGCCACCATGCAAGGGTCCTGTAGGCATATATTTGAGAACTTGCTGGTGGGGTCTCGCGATGCAGTGCACGTGCGATGTGACCCTTGTATCCCCAAAACCGCCTAAGCCACACTGTTGACCACCTCTCGATGCCATGGGTGTGTATGATGTGGCGGGCACCTCTGAGGGACCTCAGTCGGAAGTCGATCCAGGTCTCGTCAGTGCGCCTGCGGAAGCCTGCTGTTTTAGCGATCAATTCACACTGTAGTGTATTGATGCTGGCCATAGCATGAGCGTTCGGAGACATGGCAGAACAGTACCATAGCACACTCCCTCCTACAACGGATCTAAAGAGTCGGAGCTTACTCTTTAATGGGGCCCTGGCCAGGAAGATATCGCTGTTGGCGTAGAACTTCTTGGTCCCTTTGGCCATACCCGTGTCCATGATGGTCGTCGGTCGCAGAGGTACTGACAGTGGTATGTGGAACACCCGGAGGGTCTCGGCAGGCTGGATCGTCTCTCCATCGAGCACAATGGGTCCAGGCTCTGTACTGTAGGGGGAGTGGTAGTAGACTGTTTTTTCGGGGTTTACCCGAAGTCCCCATAGCTGCAGTTCGGCTTTGAGGAGGTCATATTTGACTTTCATCGTGGTGCGGGAAGAGGCACATAGGAGGGTGTCGTCCATGAACAGGAGTTCTGTCGCCGGCATGTCCGGTGCGGCTGGGATCGACCGTGGCCATGCGGGCTTGCTCATGGCATCCGCGAGTGCGGTCTCGATTGCGATTGCAAAGAGGAAGGGGCTCTCCACTGAGCCCTGGCGAATACCTCTCTCCTGCGGGATCTCTGCATCTCCCCAGGGAGTTTTGAGTACTGCCGTACCTTCGTAAAACAATCGCTCCCAGCAGCGGAACTCGAGGAACATGTGTGCAGGTAATCTATCTCTCAGGATTTGCAGTGTTCTGTCTCGGGCCAAGGTATCAAAAGCCTTGCGGATGTCGATCTTGCACCACGACAGGCCCATTTTCCACTCGGTGTCGAGAGCGAAAGTGCGGGCGGCCGCATAGAGGTAGTCTCCCATTGTGTGCACATTGGCATGGGCCAAGCGGTTGGATGTGCTTTCGAGTTCGGGTTAATAACATAGTGCCAAAGGTCTTGGCTTCAGCAGCGCCGACACTGATGGGTCTCAGGTCGCCGGGCCCCCGCGGCTTTTCTGTCTTCGGCAGTAATGTTACCACCGTGCGCATCCATTCATGGGGTAACTCTTCTCCACATCTGAGCCGTTCCATCCATTGTAGGAAGGCGTTGGCGGTCTCATCGTCCTCGCAGAGTGCCGAGATGAGTTCGAAGGGGACTTGGTCCTCACCAACCGATTTGTTGCGTTTGCCTCGGGTTAAGGCTGCTTTGAGCTCTTCCATGGTGAAGTGCTCGCCAGTGTCGATGTCCTTGTTCCATCTCGGTGGATCCCGGGGTGCGACTTTCTGGAACAAGGTTCTAAAGTGGGAGGTAGTCCATCTCATCGGCTCCTGGCTGTTATCCTCTGCTGCCTGGACATAATGGACTGTCCACTCCGTACTTCCGCGGGTCTTCGAGGATCTAAACTCCTGCCAGCTACCGGAAGCGGCTTTTTCGGTTTTGGCGGTTCTCCATGAGACCTGGGCATGTCTTCGGGCTTTGTGAGCTGCTTTCCAATCGGTCTCGGTGCCTGGTAGGGCATTTAAGGTTTAGGGTTTCCCGACGACTCTAAGTATATACTTAGTACCTACTTTGGGGTCTACAGACTATAAACTGTACCTGCTTTCGGCTATTTGGAGTCTTGGGGTTTAGGACTTAAAACATTGGGTTGGCTGGGGGGAGGGGTAGATTGTAGGGATTGGACTTCGGGTTCGGGTTCAGGATCTCGGGCTTGGGATTGCAGCAAAAATTGGGGAAGGGCTCTGGCTGTGGAAGTGAAGGATTGGGATTTGGTTCTTGGGGTGTGGGCTTAACGGCTGAAGGATGGTTTAAGCTTTGAGGGACTCCGAGATGCATATGCTGCAGTTCTATCCAAAATGCCCTTATCAGTGTCAGGGACAAAGTGGCCTTGCAGCTCGGGTGGTGCTTAGGGCTTGTAAGACTATCGGGTTGAGTAAGTACAAGCACATCGGTGCGGCAAACTGGGGGTGCACTTGAAGGATCATGGGACTTAGTAACTAGGGTGATAATTAAGGTTACTGTACTTATAATTACGTATAGCCCCAATTAAGGTACTTATAACCTAACTTACTGAGTCCCCCGATCCTCCAAGCAGTAAGCTGCTATTCTGTGGTGTCTGGGCGGGGGCTTGTGACTTGCGAGGTTTTGAGTAGAGCATTGCTTCAGGGCTAGGGTTTATGGCTGAGAGTTCAGGGTGTAGGGCTTTTTGGTCATAGATCGGCTATGCCTCAACGTTACTTTGATTTTGTCTGCTTGGAGGTTCATGGGTAGTTATAAGTGGGGTTAGAATTCCCCTAATATGGGTTATAAGTATCAACCTACTTATAACCCTACTTATAACTACCCACGAACCTCCAAGTAGGCGCTCGTGCTGGTTAACATCAAACCTGACCTGTGGCAAGGTCAGAGAAAGCCTGAACACTGAACCCAACATGTAGCTACGCCCACTATTCGGGTACCCCTAATTTTCGGAAACTCCCACATGGAGCTACGCCCACATCCGCCCTAAATGCGTGAAGCCCTCCGTAAAGCTTAAATCCCTGAGGCCCGATAATCTTAAAAGTAATCCTGAGCGGAACCCAGAGGGTCCCGGTACCTCATAACCATATACCCTCCAAAATCCTAAACTACAGGGGTGTAGGGTTTAGGGACCCTTAGGGGAACTCTTAAGGCGTCTATATTATTGGAAAGGTACCACCTTGCAACTGTATTCCCTCATGGTACCCTGATGATCATAACATAACAAACCAAATAGCACATACTGCAAAGCCCTAGTCTAGTCATTGAGGCACCCAACATTTTGGCCTCGGTCTAAAACCCTGCACGATTGAACCTCCGAGAAGCCTGTGCGTGCACAAGCGCAGGCCTCACGATAGGGTTACAACCCTAAACCCCTAAAGCCTATATAAACCCTAAAGCACAAGCTCCGGCCCCATGACAAACCCTTCTGAAACCCTAATGACTGGCCTCGCCGCAACGGAAGGAATCTCCGCCGGCACTGCCTCGAGGTTGGATGGATTGAGGATTCGATAATAGGATGGTTTGGGAGGGGTGTAATTGGTGTTGAGCAGGTCTGACTGGTGGTTGATAGGGACATATAGGATATACAAAAAGGGGCTTAATAATTAGAATGGGGTTTTGGGCATGTTCTTGAATAACTCATAGTCTAGGAAGCCCAGTAACCAGGAATAGAAAAGGCTCCCTTTTTGGTATTGGGTACCTTTAGTTGAACACGAAGTAAACCCGTCGTGTTACAAAACAAGCAAAAGCAAGCACTCACAGCACTTCTTTTACTTGAGCCAAATACGTTCGTGTGCGTCGTTCAAGCTGCTCTTCATCTACCTCTTGTAGAGTACTCTTAGCTACATCAAGCAAGTGCGTGGGGCTCGAGTATGATTAACTCCCCCCTTGAAGACAGCGTGAAACGCTACACTGAACTTAGTTACGCAGACTACCTACTTGGTGGAATTGCCACTCCGATTAGAAGTGGAATCCAAGCTCTCGCAGCTTCAGCTGGCTGTCGACGGGCAGCCTGCTCACGTTTCTAGGTGTGAAGGCAATTATGACGATTCTGTCACCCTTCGTGCAAGGGGTCGTCGCATGTAACCGTCTTGGATCGAAGATCGCTGGCCATTTAAGGATCTCGCCCTTCTCACCTCGACTGAGGTCTGGGCATGGGTAGCCACCGTCTTGTGACTGCACCCACACGTGGCCCCCCTCGAACACTTCAAGTGGGATTACAGCGTTCTTGCTGCATGGCTCGTTGTAAGAATCCTTATGAGTCAAAGTAATTTGATTCTTGGCCAACATCACTGCCGTAAACTTATGCTTAGGCAACACCCTACGGATGAACCTGCACAAAACCGCAGTGACTACTGGGAAGAGGGTTACATTTTGCCTTAAACCTGCGATCCCACCTCCGTGCGCGAACGCACCGGTGGTGAAGCACATTGCCTCACTTGCAGAGGGGCGCACGGCGCTCTCCCCCGGCAAGTACGACAAAAGCTGCACAAGGTCTTCTTGTGTGATCTTCCTGGGCAGTGAGCTTGCAAAACGCTCTGCTTCCTCAGCTACGACCTTTGAGACGGTCGCGCTGTGAGGGACACCTTCGTGAAGGCACAACTGTGTGAGCATATCAGACCACTCAGCAGGAGGGATGATCTTAGTCAAACCATTAGCTAATTGCTCCTTGCTGTTCACGTAAGTAGCCGAAAAATCTTCTTGTTCAAAGATCTCTGCCATACTTGCCACATTTACGCGGTGCACGCGCCCTAAGTGGCGAAGCTTTGGACTGTATCCTGACTTCAGGATGGCCAAAACAGTTTCATTGTCTTGGAAGAAGATGATTGGCACTGTGCTTTTGAAGGCTGACTGTAAGAACGTCTGCAGGTTTATGACCTCTGAAAACATGGCTGATGCCATTGAGATCATTTCGGCCTCTGGCGTCGACCTCGCAACAGACGTTTGCTTGCGACTTTGCCACATCACAGGGAATGCATGCTGACCTGTGCCTATGTGGACTACAATCCCGGACGTGCTACGTGAAGTGTAGGGACAGGCTGCGAAGTCAGCGTCTGTATACACCCGTAGCTCGGGAGCGGCATCCCAAGAGCAACTGGCATTCATGCAAACATCTCTGGTGTGATGAATATACGACACAAGTCTAAGCACTTGTCTGTCCTCCCAGGCGGTCCACCGAGTGACCCTGGAAGCTAGGCGAGTTACAGCAAATGCGATGTCAGCTCTACAGAGACGAGCTAACCACAAACAGCGCATCAAGATGCGTGATGCTGAATCGTGGAGCTCGCCTTGCGCTGAGATATCCTCGTCGGTCATTGACGATTCAGCGATGCAGGGCGTGTTCACTCGACGAAGCTTGTCGGGCGTTGTCCCGGTGATCTCGCAATAGGTTTGGACAATCTGCTCAGCATACTCAGGCATCCTAAAAGCCATTGTGGTCGACGATGGTTCATCGTACCGACAATGCAGTCTACCTAAGATCCGAACACCCTCAGAACCTATGAAACACTCGGGATCAAGTTTGACCTTCGCCCTCAACGCTTGCCAAAATGGCGTGTGCAATTTTGTTAATCCGCACAAACTCAAGTCATCGACGTAAATGTTTAAGATGAGAACCCCATCCTTGTACTCAAAGAACCAGTTGCTTGGAAACTCCTGGGACTCCTTTCCGCCTAATGAGATCAAAATCCTAGACAAGTACTCTTGCCAGAGCCGTCCGGCCTGTGGGTGGCCGTACAAGCTCTTGCGAAGTCGAACGACTATTCGCGCTTGCGCTCCAAAACGCTCCTCCCAACCAGGGAGCCACAACTCCCTTGGCAGGATTACGTATGTCTCTTCTTTAAGCTCTGATTGGAGGTATGCTTGGATTGCGTCAGAGCATGACACAGAGTGCTCCGGTAAGCAACCCCAGAAGAGGGAGGCGTTCAAGGCTATTAACCCCGTTGGAGTCGTACTGGTCTCTTCGAAGAAAACCAGATTGTTAAACTCATCCAAAACCCTATCCCCTCTATAAACAATTCTCCCTTTGAACTTTTGAAATTCAGGTGCAAGTTCGGCATGCTTTACCCCGCACAAGGTCATCAGTTCTGCGACGCGAAGCTTGCGTCCCTGAGACCTAGCCTGACTTCTCAACTCATGCAAAGGCATGGCCGTCGTGTCATCCCATGTGCCGTTTCGGCGCAACCCCTCAGCTTCTTGAGCGATGGCTTCAAGCGCCTTCGGCTCAGCTTGCCATTCTCGGCGAGAGAGATTCTTGGTGATAAGCGCGCTAGCTTTACCAAGATTGGGGACACTTTTGAAGTACCTCTGGGGAAACAAGGATTGTATCACGAGATCCGCAAGCTCATACGCTTTGATGTTGGTTGCATTGATCTCTGATGACTCCTTCGTCGACACCTTTGCGAAGTGCTCCAGTACTCGCTTGGAGTTCGAAGCAATGGTGGTGGCTTTGTTACCGCTGACACAGGCTACACTGGAGAGCTCGTGTTTCGAAGCGAAGTCGATCCACTCAGGCTGCACAAGCACCCCCGAATCAGAACTCCACTGAAACGAAACCCGACCCCCCTGCTCAATGATATGGTCGGCAACATTTAGGGCCAAAACCAACATTCGCTTGGATGTTGCTTGCCTTTGTGCAATCTTTCGCGCGTACTTGGGACTTTGGGACTCACGATGTACGGCTTGGTGTGAAGACATATGTGTGCATGGTATGGTGAACCAAGCATCTACACCTGGGATTGCTTGGGAAACAACTTGCTGCATGTCATCCTGCGAAGTCAAGTCCAGCGTTGACTGGGACAGACTAACACAATGAACCTTACAACGTTCACAAGCATCTCTTATCTCAGACTCGTCTTCACAACCGTACTCGATAAGAACATTTTCCCCTGGAAGTTCCTTCACCCTTCTGGTGTTGTTACGCGCTCTCTCGTTTGCGAGAAACCTTGCACTCAAACCAAACTCACCTGTTGGAACTTTGCTTTCGGAAGACTGAACTACAACACCAGCTGGAGCCCGTGGGCCAGCAGAGGAGCTCGCGCGCTCTGGAGCATCCTCATCACCCTCGGGGGCTGCGGGCGCAGGCTCCGCCAAAGGATCAGGGCGCTCAACATCAGGCGGTGCAGCGTCTCTGACTGACTTGCTCGCGGCAATCTTCTCGGCTTTAATCAAACCATCAAATCTTGCCTTACATACTGGCGTGTGTACTGTTCCATCGAACTTGCAGGCCTTACAACCAGGTGTTGCACCTAGTCGCATAAGTCTGTCCAAAGTAATGTACTCGTGGCGCTTGGCAACGGGTGTTGACGGCGCTACCGTGCTGAACGGCACATCAAGAAATTCGATGGCTTCATACTCGGCTTTCGTGAAACTAGACAAAGCAGCTTCTGCAGCGGTGAACATCGGGAGGATGGGATTGCCGCGGGGAACGTGGATTTCCTCTCTAGGGACGGAGATCGCCTTTTCGTACCCCGGTTCACGGTTCTTTAGCTTACCATAATCCAAGACATAGTAGACTTCTCTGAATGATGATGGACCGCTATCGAACCGCCAACCTGCGAAAACACCAGGTGCTGCTGATGCCTGAAACTTCTCACGGTTTGCCGGGTCAAGTCTGTAATAGACTAGTTGACCAAGTTGTAATTTCATGCCACCAAACTCGGATCCAATCGCGTTCGCATACCGACAACCCTCAATCCCGACCGCAGGGTGGAAAAGGTTAATGGTGTGTGCCGCATAGCGAACAGTGTGAACCCAAAGACCCGAATGCAACTGAAAACCGGCCGCAATGTGGAGAGCCCTTGTACACTCCTCGATGGTACGGATCTCCCGTTCGAGAACTGAGTTGTGAGGCCATCTACGCTCAAGGCTTGGTTCTGAAGTAAACCCCAACGTCGCACATGCGGCGAGGAGCTCTCGCGCATTGTCGCTCTTGAACAACCCAAAGGCTCCAGGGTGTCGTTATAGCCAGCACTTTCGTTTTGCGTGAGTGAACAGAGAGATCTGTGGAGCAACGACATATTATGATCCAAAGAGCCCCCTTGGGCGAAAGTATTACCTTTGCAACTTTGAGGATATCGACCAGACACATCCGGCTATATATATATATATAGATAGATAGATAGGTGGATACAGGTGCACACATAGAACATAATATGTAGAGAAGCTGATGAAAGTAGATAGATACAGATAGATAGATAGATAGATAGATTTTGCAGGATAGACACACACTCTCGAGACAACATTTTAATACCACACAGACACAGAGACAGGCAGATAGAAATTAAATTACACCCACACAGGAGAATTCAGGAACAAAATATAGGACAAGGCTGGACTCTTGAATGCCCTGAGTTTAAAAAATCGTCTGCGCAATCATGCACACACACACATGTACACAGCCCACGCACACACACACACATATATATATATATATAGACACCCACACACCCACACCTGACCCACCCACCCACACAAACACGGA